GATGAACAGATTCTACTCCACATCTGGTACCCGTCATGTTACTCATGTAAGTAAAAACCCGGTGATAAATTAATTCGGTAGGTCACATTCGGGGAAAAGAGGACGGTATTGTGGTTACGACAACTGTAGCATATCCGTTGTAATCTGTGTAACAGATATCCCAAACCGGTCAACCAATTCGGGATGGCGTCCGTAAAATTTTTGAACGAATGATTTCAACTTCATCACTTGGTTCTCTTGGTTTTAAAGCTTCCTTGTGAGCAGCAACCCTCTATCAAGAAAATAATGATAGGAAATGCAAGCCCTAGAATATTGTATCAACTTGGAGATATGTACTCCATATGCAGGCGCTGCTGAAATGTTGCTTCATAGAAATGGAAATTCACAACTAGGAAGCTAGATCATCTCTTGTATCGAAAAGTTTAGTTTACCACCGACCCTCATTGTCAATGTCTAGATGTAAGTCAATATATATACTTAACTGTATCAGTAACATATTCCTTTAAAGGTTGATCAGCTCATTCGAACGTACTTTTTTAGAACACGTACCACTAACGTTGCAACAAAATTGTAGATCCTGTGTATGAAGGAGGGTTGAATTCTGTTTGTTTGGGAAGCACTCACGGCATACTGAATATCGTTTTATTCTGTTGAGTTGGTATTTCAAAGTTTAAATTGGTTTTAATGTGTGCTGTTAAGCTACTGTTGTTTGTCTTATTTGTTTTTATTTTTGCCAGGCTGTTGTCTGTTTTATCAACTTATGTGCGGTGATTGCCCACAAAAAAAAATCATTTTTTTTGTTCCAATATTCTTAGTTTAGACTTATAATTTTGTGTCGCCGCGATATTGCCTTTTCTTTGGTCAGTTATTTTGCCTTTGATTAACGTATCTTTGTTGTATTTTGTTATTCTCAATTCGTTTATGTTGTCTATGTTTTTCTGTTGGTTAACATCTGTTAAGTTTCAATTCGATATCGTATTTTGTATTAAAATAGAAAAAAAAAATAAACAAAAAAACGTATGCACCTGTATCACATGTGCAAAATTTACAAACCTGCTGAATTTTCTGTATGCCATTTTGTTTTTGGATATGAGATAGAACTGATTCCTTCACTTGTTTCTACGATGTAAAAAAAACGACTATTCAGTTCTTATTCAAAATAAATTAACTACAGAACATATGCTTCAATGCAATAAAGATACATAAACGTATGAATGTGTCATGAAATCTATTATTGATAAATATTTTTTTTTAAAACCCAAACTATACAAAAAATAAATCATTACAGATATTCAAAGTTTTTTAACTAAGAATTTCAAATAAAAAGAATTTTGTTTTCTTATCATATCTTATCATTCTAAGAAATATAACCGCCATGCCAAATGTATGTTATAAATTAAAGCGACAGTAGTTTACTTATGTTCAAATCTTGCAAATCGATTTGAAAGAGACATATTCGTGTGAGAAACAAAAGTTTTAAACTGACGAATAAAATTAATAAAATGTTTTTTTATCCTAGGCTAGTGTTAGGTCGATACCACTGCTATAGGAAATAAACTCATCATAGATACCAGGATTAAAATTTTGTACCACAGACGTGCGTTTCATTTACAAAATACTCATCAGTAACGTTCGAATCAAAACAGTTAGAAAGGCAATATAAAGTACGAAGTTGACAAGTGTTTAGGACCCAAAATTCCAACTGGTTTTACCAAATACAATTAAGATAATCTTTTCCTTGGTAAACATATTTATGCTTTTAAAAATTACAAGTTTATAGATATTTGTTTTATAATTATGACCATATCATTGATAATTCATGTCAAAACAGAAGTGCTGACGACTGGGCTGGTGATGCATCCGGGCACTGTTTGTTCTCCACTGGTAAATTAAGGAATTAACAAGAAATAAAGGTTATGCTTTCTAAGGCAAATTTGACTAAGATATTACAGCCATGCTCTAAGTTCCCATTTGTTCATAAAGCTCGTCATGTGTTTAAGTCTTATATTTCACGGTTTTTCTAGATGTGACCAGTAAAGCGTCTAGGACGTACAAACTTAATGAGATGTAATTTTCACTACATGGCATTGGTTCAATACCACTGCTAGTTGACAGTGTGTTTCCGAGCGTATCATCAGCTCAAGTTTTGTGCTTCGGTACAGACATGATTTTTAGCAAACGTTTCTTAAATCTTCGTTATCAGAATAATGAATTATTCAGAATCCAAGGTACCAACTTCGTCATGGTAAAGTTGCCCTTACATAGATTCAGTCATTCTTTCAGGTTCGGTCGTATACGTGCATCGGTCGTATTTATCCTCGGTCTTCCAATGTTTGAACGTTGATGATCCAAGATAGAGTGTCCGACAATGGATATCAATTAAGAGTTTGTTTTGTTGTAACACATTTTATGGTTCAGAAAGTGGTTTAATGGACGACACATTTCTGCCTCGAGCAGCATTTCAATCTTATCAAGCCATTCGAATAATTTTGCTTACTTAACCTATGGTTTATTATTTGCATCATTGTCATGGATTCTCATGATAGATTTAAAATTGAATAAACAACTTTCAATCAATAAAATGAAAGAACAAACCCATTTCTGATTTTTTTTTATTATAAATGATTGTTTATGGACATCTTTCTATACAAAGCAAAGCCATATGTAGTTTGCATGTCAATAGTCAACAGTGTTTAAATTGAATGGTTGTAATCATTAATTTTCATTCTAATATAGCGACCTATATTATTGTCAACCAGTATAATCACAGTATATATGCTCACACGCATTAGTTCTAAAAATTATCTGTTGCCCAACTTTATATAAACGACCAGGGCCCGGTTGTTCAACTTGTCGTTAACTTAACGTAAGCATTAAATTTAACGTGTCGTTAAATACTCTAACGTGTCGTTACTTAACCCATGGTTAAAATGGTCTTGTTCAACTTGGTTTAACGCCGTCGTTAGTTAACGATGATATTTTAACCCCTCGTTAAATATTTAACTAAAGTTTAGAGATTATTTTTGTTACCCACAATGCATTGGTTTGTTAATATTTATTTCAACATGGCTGACATTTCTTCTGCGAAAAAACATAGGGACAGAAAACCTTTCTTTACTCAAGAAGTAGTAAATGGTTATACAAGATCAAGTACAAAAAAATTACAAAGTGTTTAATGAAAAGTTTGGGGATGGAGTTACCAATTCTAGAAAGACTGCTGTCTGGAGCAGGATTTCTATCTTGGTCAGTGCTCTGAGTGTTGCCAACAGGTCTACCAAAGACTGTAAAGACAAATGGGCTAACACCAAGAAGGAGGCTAAAAAGGTGTTTAGCCAACTGAACAAAGAGCAGAGGGTTACTGGTGGTGGTCCACAGCCAAAAAGATTGAGTTTGGCCATAGAAAGGACAATAGACCTTTGCAAAGACTCAGCTTCTTTCAAAGGTCTTGTAGGAGTTGAAAGTGTACTTGGTATGTATCAGAAACTAATTCATACTCTTTTGTGAACATATAAAAATAATGAATCTTAAAATGCTATTCGTTATTCAGTTATTCTCTCCGATTTCATGTAACTTTTTGTTGATTAAAGAAATCGCCGATTATTCATACCATGTCATCCAAAATTGACAGGTATTTAACTATTTATTGATCCTTAATCATGTGTAAGCTTAGTATTTAATTAACATTCGGCTATATTCAGTTTTACTCAGTGAATAATAAGTTATTTTAATTCATTTAGTCAATTATTTATGTCGTCTGCATTCACATACTTACGTCCTAAATATTAACCTTGAAAGACGCTCAGCATGCTAATGAACATATTATGTTTTGAACCTCATTACCTCATGACACACTTTCTTCTAACGATGGTTGATTTTAAATATTGTCATTTGACAATGTTGTAATGATGGTTTGGGACAATACATGTTCAGTTCAAATGTTCGTTTATCCAGGGAAGAACCTGCTTGCTGTTATTTCCCTTTGATTTGTAGCCGACAGGACGATGTCTCTCGGACCCTGGCTAACCCGTACCTTAAATTATATCGTGGAATACGCTCGTAAAGGCCTAGACTAAAACAATTTTATTAATCATCTTTTGATGATCGTTCAAAATTTTGAAAATAAATATATATAGATGGTGTTAAACCTGGTGGGATATGAGTGAAAAAGTTATGTTGATAAAAAGGGGGAGGGGGTCCTACAGAAAGGTATACACAGAAGTGCCACTGGAATAGGTCCTTTTTCTTTTGTCAAATCTACCAAGGGGATGCAATTTCAACATCTACAATTAAGTGTAAAATGTAGATGGGCCAGTAATTTTCATTTTACAATTAGCAATATATATATAGCCAGTGAGTGAGATTGTGAGTTTAAATCCAGCACGGGGCAGGTGCACTCCAATCCAATGATAATTGACTAAGGATTGGAAATGTCCCTACCTAATATCGGTTGTTTACTCCAGCTTCATCCACCAATATGAGCTGACTTCCACGAAATAGCATGGAGTGTTGAAAGCGGCGTTAAACACCAATCCATTAATCCATCAAAACCAATAGATTTACTAGAAAATTATTTTAAATGGTGCAATACTGCCTTATAATTGGACAGAAGTTTGTCTTCTGATATAGTTCTGTTACTAGCCATCTCATTTTGGTTGTCATTGATGCATATGGTTTGTCAGGCTAGGTCAATGAAAGCAAAGAAAGAATGGCTAAACAAAAAACCTCTTTAAGTAAGAAAAATTTAACAATAGACACACATGACTTCCATTCATGATAATTTATAACAACCACCTTATTATATTTTCTAGTTGACAACTCAGCAGCATTGCCATTGGAGAGTGCAACAAATTCCCAGGACCTGTTTGATACCCCTCCAAGCCAGCCACTGTCCCTATCTAGATCTGATTCCATTCATCAGCCATTACCACTTCTGCCAGCTGTAAATATCCAGGTGCCATGCCCAGCAGCTGCAGTAGTTGAGCTGGGGACTCCAACAACACAGAAAGCAGTAAATCCAAAGAAGAGGAAAGCAACTGCTGATGATGTTTATGAGCTACAGGTAAAATTTTACAATTGCATTTATTTTAGAAATAATCCAGAATAATTTAGAAACGATTGACATACCATTGTCTTATAATGAATGACTCGGTGGTAGGTTCAAGACTGTCATAACTCGGAAAAATGAAAAGGTAAAAATCAATTATCAACACTAAGAAAAAATTGACCTTTTGGGTCCCCATCGATTGGTTTGTATCTATAGGCAATGATGTGAGACCGTGAATCGATCTTAAATTACACTTAATCAACATTTCATTTTCAAATGTTGCAATCTTCATCTTTATGAAAATCTTCCAAAATAATTAATTTAAATTTATGGGCTCCCAGCCTCTGGACAAAGCATATGTCCAACAGATCAAACACTATATCTGGAACTCTCAGTTTCATGCAAAACTTCTGTAAATTCCACAAGAGTTGTAAGGTATACAGACACATATAAAGATATACCGGTATGTTAAAAATATATAGATCTACATGTATCATTTTCATTTCAGATACTGTATTTGAAGGGAGAAATGGCAAAGCAGACTAAAGAGATGAGGAAATTAGATCTTCAGATAGAGTTGCTGGAAGAAATGAAACGAGACAAAGAGAATACTCCACTAACATTTTCTCAACTTTTAATGAATTAAATTATTTATTTTTCTTATCAATCAACAATTATTTGCCCAAAAAAATGCATGTGTACGGTACCAAGTCACAAATAATGTTTAGGACTCAATTTCTTCGTTCAATAGTATTTTGCATTTTTTTTATTTTGATTTGATATATCTATATACCACTTTTGAGTCTTCTTGTGTTATGTTTTGGTGTATTCGAGACAATTGAATTTTACAATTTGTATGTTATGTTTGTTTTTTTAATTCTGGCTATGCATTTTTGCGCCTGTCCAAAGTTAGGAGCCTCTGGCCTTTGTTAGTCTTGTATGTTTTTTAATTTTAGTTCATTTATATGTTTTGGAGTTTAGTGTGAAGTCCATTTTCACTGAACTAGTACAGAATTTTATTTAGGGGCCATCTGAGGACCACCTCCGTGTGCAGGATTTTCTCGCTGCGTTGAAGACCCATTGGTGGCCTTCGGCTGTTGTCTGCTCTTTGGTCGGGTTGTTGTGTCTTGGACATATTCCTCATTTCCATTCTCAATTTTATTGGAAATGTTTATATTTTGGCACTGTGTTCTGACCTTGGATTTGATCACTATTTTTATAAGTGCCATTCATTTTGATCGTTTGCTTTACATCCAGTGGCGTATATTTCATGCATGTTCATGATGAGAACAAATTAACAAAGAGTACAATAGGTATGATCAGACCCTTCACGAGTTTTTGTAAGGGCTCTTATAATATGCATAGCGTTACACTATTTCCACACAATGCTATCAGATTTTACATCCCCTTTCCAACCGGATGTGCCGGCGTATTTACACATCCAACAGTCTATGGAAGACCCACTTTGCGTCAAGGGTTTTACTGATTGGACGAACAAAGTCCAAAGGATGACCTTAAATCTATACCTTAACCAATCCTTAGGGTAAGATATCATTCAGAGTAGAATTAACACGGAGATGATGTGTAAACAAGATGTTGACAACGGACACCTAGTAGTGCCAATAGCTCACATTACCGTAAATGTAATATGAACTCATAATTTGCTTTCAATTCAACATGTCGAATGCATGTGTTTTGAGAAAACATAACTTGTATTATTTATCACAATATTATATTGGATGAAAAATAAAGACTATTTTGTGTTCAAAACATGTATTTCAGTGGAAGAAAACTCTTGCGACATGCTCACTAATGTGTCTACCATCCTGTTCTCCTTCAAAATTCGGAACTTGCACTGGCTGGTCTTGCTGAACATGTACACCACAAACATCATCCAAAGGTTCATTCCTTGTTAAAGCTATTATGTAGAACAGCACCAGCACCAAAGACTCGACAGACTTTTTCTGGTTTCATTCTGACCTGAAATTTAAAAACATAATTATGGGCATGAAGAGTTAATTTTTAATTCGGATATCTTTCACTCGGATAATAATACTGTTTCGGAAGTGTATTCTCTTCTACAATCGTCTCCTGGAAAATTACCCATGCAGATATCCCCTTTACAAAAAAATACCATGTTAATGACTTTTTTTCATTGCATTCTAAAAAAAATAATGGTTACTTTAATAGCAGGTTCACTATTGACAATCTTTAATTCATATGAACTGTATGTCTTTCTGCAACAATTGTCTCTAGTTTTAGGGAGCTACCATTTGATTTTTTTTTGGGGGGGGAGGGGGGCTTGTATGAAATTTAAAAAAAAGGCAGGACAGGAGTTTTGAGGGAAAAAAGGCAGAATGACAATTTATGTAAAAATAAGTGTGAAAAATAAAAAGGCAGGACAGAGATCACAACTAAAAGAAAAAAGCAGGACAATTTTTTTCATCCTAGCCTCCCCCTAAAAATTAGATGGTAGCTCCCTTAGTGTCTACTTGTCCTTTTCATAATTAGTTTCTTTTTTGTGTCCCTTTTTTCTCTATATATTTTCTTTCTTCTCGATTGAAGTTTTTTTTTTGCATTTGTTGTACGAAACTGCCTAGGTTATTTAACTGTTATAGCTCTGCATCATAAGGGGTGTTTGTACAGATGATTCGTATATATATTATTTGTACATAAATCTGGAAGCTACTTATCTCGTTTGAATTGTTTAACATTTGTGATTTTTGGGCCTTTTACAGCTTACTATGTGGCGTGGATTATCTCATTGTAGAAGGCTGTACGGTTACCTATAGATTTTAACGTCTATGTAATTTGGTCTCTGGTTTTGAGTATTATCATTGGCAATCATACCACATATTTTTATTTTAATATATTTTAAGTATTCTATAATTATTCTTACCTCGGAGTGCAAAACATGAAATCTTCTCTTTAAAGCCAAAAGCCCTTTCAATAATGGATCTTGTGCAGGAGTGTGCTCTATTAAATCTTTGCTGGTGTCTTTCTCTGGGATTTGGATAGGGTGTCATGAGAAAAGGGCGACATGCATACCCGCTATCTCCGAGGATCAAACCGTCTGCAAGTCCTCTGTTGTTTGTCTCCAGGTAATGACACAGGTTTGAGGTGTTGAAGATGTGGGAATCATGGGTTGACCTGGCCAGTTAGCAGATATATTGGTAAACTTCCCTGAAAATATATTAAACTAATTTTATTTTATGAGGAGTACGAATTTAATGTCACAGTTAACTGCAGCTTGAATAAAGGTCAGTCTATTGTTACTTGTGACAAATAACGAAGGAAACGTATGTATTTTTTTTCCTGAAAACAATTTTGAACATACATAAATTATAAAATTATTGAATATACTGATAGGTTCAATCAAATCATCATGGAATAAAAGTTAAACGTACAAAAAAAAATACATCAGTAATATGTTTTCATTTATAAACATTGTATAGATTAGAAATAGTACATATGATTTAAGTGGCACATGCAACAGTGTTTTGGGTTCCCTCACAGGTGCGCGTTCTAATTGAAAAAGATAGCATACAATGCCCCCACCCCAACCCCAAAGCCCAAACATGATTTATAAATTGTAAAAGCACTAAGGCCCAATTTGAACGTACAAATTAAAAAAAAATCCGTTATTTTTATTTATTGAGGGGCGTTCGGGGGGTCCCTGCTTCACACTTCCCTATTCCCTCACTCCTGGACAAAAATCGATCGAAATATTTTCCCATGTTCCCTCACCCTGTCCCCCCATCTTTATTAGCTTCAGATTCCGATATCTGCATCGCCTTTGATTGCAAAATATGCAGATGAACATTTGGGGTGAGGGTCGTCATTTTACAACTCCATTTAAGGAATAAGCGTTCTAAATTTAGTTATCGTGGTCATCGTCGATCGATCACTGGTAATATTTGGGTCGTATAACATCGAGGGCTGAGTTTACTGACGAGAAAGATTAAGGGATATAATAATAAAGGTAAACAAATAAACAGACGAAGAGGAGATCAGAGATAAATAAGATTACTAAATTAAATAAGTACCTTCGTAATCACACACAGCCTGCACGTTCACAATATGGTACCCCTTCCTATTGACAAAAGCTGCCTCGTCCTCTGATGGCCCTTGTATCTTGACGTCCGTGCAATCAATGCATCCCAAAACATTTGGAAAGTTCATTTGTCTGTAGAAACCACACTTCATTCTGTTTATAGAATTAATGTCTTTTGGCCACTGGATGAAGTTGTCTTTAACATCGAGCAAAGCATTAGTAACATCATTTACTGATCTAGATAAGTTGCTTTATCGTACCCCATCGTATCTCCAATCACTTGTAAGAATGACCCAGAGGCATAAAACCTCAAGGCTATGCATACTTGTTGTTCCACTGTTGAAGCAGTTTCCTTTGTTGTGGATCTCCTCAATTTATCTCCCACAATATTACATATGTAGGCTATAGAGTCTCTTCCAAACCTATATCTTGTCCTCATTTCAGTATCTGTCAAATTATTAAGATGACAAACCATTCCTCTGAAGATTCTCTTTTTTCTTTGCCTAGGTACCATCAACAGAGCAGCCATTTTATAAATTATAACCCTTCGTTAAGTATTTAACGAAGGTCAATAGCAGCGTTAGATTTTATAGAAGTTACGACAGTTTAACGTTGCGTAAAATTTAACGTAGAGATGAGCAACAGGTTTAACCATGCGTTAAATTTTAACGATGCGTTAGCATATTTTAACGACAGCGTTAGACTTAACGACAAGTTGAACAACCGGCCCCAGGTTAACTCAATTTGTGACAGTAAAATCCATGTTAAACGTAGGCCAAGCTTCATATACAATATGGTTATCTCTCTTTGAATGCAAAATAAAAAAATAAGTCCACTTCAGTTATTTTTCGGGATAGAATTTCATAAAAGAAAGTACTCCGCGAAATATTGTTTACTTATCGTCTTTGGCAAGCAACTAAACAAAGTGACGTCATATTAATGCTTCATGCGTCAAATGTAAACACCGGGCGTTTTCAGGCTTCTTGTATGCCTCAAAATGTAATACAATTAGACAAAAAAAAAACATTTCTAGGTGAAAAATGTTTTTTTTTTTTTTTTATTTATAATTGAATGATGTAATATTATTAATATAATTTTAATAGGGGAGGGTGTTAAAACGGAACAGCCAAAAAAGTGTCGTATGTATAGGGCTTTCACGGTTGACAAAATAACTGTGTTTTGCAGACCCATGATATGATTTGGTCAAAACAGATTCGCAGCAAATATTACCCAGAGGTACTGTTGAAGGCTTATTGTCTAACTAGTGTTTTATGTTGTGAGGTTTGGTAAATAATGAAAACAATACCTTATTTTCATGCGTCCGAAGCGCTTTTCTTGGTTTACCTTCATCGGAAACGCTCAAAGACAAATATTTGGTAGTGACGCTTACTAAATGTCTGCAATTATGTACTGAGTATGTTATGACAATGTCCATATATCAAATGAACAGTATATGCGTTTATTGGTGTTTTAAATCGATACCAACCTTTGTGGCATGAATACATATATCAAAACGGTAACAAATATTTCTCTTCGGTCATATGTGTCTCAATTGAATTAAATGTGTTTGACAATCTGAGCATTTGTTTACATGCACTGTGATAATTACAAAA